TAAGTCAGTTGTGAGCCCATAAGAAGTTGAACTGATGGATACAGCTAAATAAGGAGGCAGCAGCTCTTTACACAATTTCTATCTGTTCCCTAGCATTGCCCATGTCCCAGCCCACTCTCCATTCCCCCTGCCTTTGAACCACAGACCATCATAACAAGAGGAGGAGCAGGGAAGCTAAAGGCAGGCTGTGGTGAAAACCATTTGCTTCTGGGACACAGAAAAAGTACTCAAGCCTCTTCACCACATTACAGCAGATACCACAGTACTGAGGGCAGATCCTAAGTAACAATCATAGGAGATAAAAAGGAAGAGGTGTTTATACTCAAGAGGCAGAGAACTTTGTTCTTGCAGGACCACAAGGGAAAAAAAACAACCTACGAGCCAGTAAGGAGGTGCAGCCTGGTGCAGACTAACTGAACAAGTGAACGGGAGTCGATGTAGTTCTTCATCCCTCCAGAGGATGTCATCATAGAGCCACCAAAAAGGGCGATCTTTGTGACCCAAATCTGGCAGGAGAGTGAGTTAAATGACTAATGTGCCGCCGCTCTTCGGACAATAGCCCCAAACCTCCCTGCTTACTTTCCCAGAAGTAACCAGTTTTCTCTAGCCAATGTGGAACTGGTGGAAGGATAGGAAATGCGGTGAAACCCACCGTAATTTGGAGATATGCAACAGGTTAGCCTGGAAAACAAACAGAATGTGTGCTCTATGTGACTTCACTGAGCAAAGACATGGGGCTTTCACGTGATTTACAACCCTGCTTTCAACCTGTTTCAGTGTCCCTGAGCATGGATGGGCACGTGGAGCACACATTCACACACAAGGAAGATGAGGAAACAAAACTATGGACATGGAGATTATGTTCACAGATAGCAGGAACAGACTGCATTCTGCAGCCTTGAGCAAGGGCACCCAGGAAAGCACTGGTGGGAGATCTGTGTGCTTCATCACCCTGTTCACCCATTCCTGTTGTTTGTGTCACAAAAAGGTAGTCTTTGATTTTGTACATATTTGTCCCTACAGCAAACCACAGCCAAAAGAAAGAAGCACTGGTGACGTCCATGGCACATTTCTGTAATAGTTTCTATCCCTAATGAGACATCTTAACTTTCAGAGTCTAAAGTCACACTGGCTTTTCTGCTAATTCTATCCACTGCCGCCTTTGGTCCTTCATGTGGGTCACAGGGGCATACATGCCTTTTCCACAAGGCTCAGTCCAAGAAGAGAGGAGAGAATCCCAAATGGAAAGGCTGCACCAGTGATGCTGAGCACTAAAGAAGAGTCTCTAGGCTACTGTGCAACCTTAGAAACTGCCACAACTTAAAGAAACTGCTGCTGCAACCCAAATCACACACCTTTTCCCCATCTCAGGTGTCCACACGGACAACAACCTGGTGATTGCTTGCCAAAGGATCTGGAAATCTTTCAAGAAAAATAGCTACCTGAGAGAAACTCTGCAGATATTGGTAGTATCCAGGAAGGCAGACTGTGCAGATCAGCCATTGTACCAAACACACTAGGTTTAGATACAAGCAAGGTAAACTACAGAGCCTCTGGGCTTTACTGTATTAGGTCAATGTTTCTCTTTGTGCATGCACCACATCAGTTTTCCCATTAAAGTGTATCAATTAAGTAATCATTAAGTGCATCATTACAATTAAGTGTATCACTAAAGTCATCATCCCTTCCCAAGTATGATTTAATAAGGCCAAATCCAGGACCTGACCCAGATTGCATCCAGTCCTAAAGAATCACTTGCCAGCCAGCCATGCAAGCTGCATCTTAATCTCTCTTCTTTGCTGCTATTTCTTTTTAGGGGTTGGGTTTGTTGGGTTTTTTTTTTCTTGTTTTTTACATGGATAGATTAAATTTCCTGCCAACCCACTTTCTCATTCAAACATGTTACAGAGGAAGTGGGAGGAAGGAGGAAATCCGGAACAAACAACAAGCAGAAAATGGCATTAGAAGGCTTAGTGAAGAGTCTGATCCTTAGCCATGCACACGGCCCCATTCCTGCACATCAGCAATGCTCTCTACCGCAGGGAAAGGAAAAGTGCTTTTTTATCTGTCCTTGTCTATGGAAACACATCAAAGAAAATATGCCAGAGCCCCAGAGTCGGGAAGTCCCAAGGCTACCAAGTTTCTCCTCCTAAAAAAACTGCATTCACCAATCCATGCCCGAAATTCTTGCCACCTATTATCTCCCACTCCCCTCCATGGCTGCATAGGTGACCCAAGGAAACCTTTCTCTGCACTGCCCACCAGCTGACAAGAGCTCTGAGCTAGTACTAAACCTCAGGAAATGCCTTTCATGTGCACTCCCTTGCTTAGGAGCTCAGACCTGGTGATTCTCGGTAACACCCTCCAGGCACTTGCATTGCACCGAGGCAGACATGGAAGAATGCAGTGTGGAAAAAAAGAGCCACAGCCTTTCACTTTCCTTGCTTTCGAGGCTTGCTTTGCCCCTGATGTTCACCTGCTCACCAGCCAAGAGAGCTCAGTGAGTTCAGTGGCATTGCATTCTTTATGTCAACACCCATATTCCTGATCCTCTTCAGCACATCTTGCCTTTCTTGTGGTAAGAGCAGAACTGTAACAAGGCCACAGTGAGGGAACCCCAGCTCTGCTGGCATCAGGAGAACAAGCTGTAGGCAGCATGGCCAGCGGCACTTGGAAAAAGCACAGGGAGAAGATCAAGATACCTGACAACAGCTCTGCTCCAGGCCTCCCTTTAACAGAGGCCATATGTTAGTTATGAGTTAATGTGAGGGCCTGCTGGGTTTGCTCAGAAGTGAACTTGTGAAAGGCATGTGCTTCCTCAGTTTTTCCTGTCGTGGAAATGTTCAAGACCCTCATAAGAAAATCTGCTAAACCATTTTGGGTTCACTTGGTGTTGGCAGACACACACACAGGCTCATCCACTTGCTCAGAAACCAGTGGTGCCATGGCTGGGAAGATCCTGGTTGGAGTGAAGACACAGAAAGGCACTTGCATGCCTTAAGTAGATGAGACTGGGATGCAAAATGTTGCTTCTAAGAAAAATCCAGTAACCTGCAAAAACTTACCAATGTACTTGACAAAACCCTGATTATCCTGAACATTCTTCCAGTATAAAAACCATTTATTTGATTTCCTCTGCCCAGTTCCAAATTGATCACCCAGTTACCTTGGACCTTGGTGTCATCTGAGGTACCCTGTTTTGAGGTACTCTTCATGAGTGCCTAAACCACGATGTAAGGAGGATTGATCTCCTGAGCATTCCCTGTCCTCATGGGGAAACCAGGCAGTCTTGGACAGGACACCATCTGTTAGACTGGCTTCCGCTGGAAACTCATCTGTGCTCCAGCAAGACTGTGTTGAAGTGCATGCATCTGACTAATTTTGGGTTTTTTTTAGTTCAGATGAATCAGCAGATACAAGTCCAAAAGCTGTGTAAGTTAAAAAAAAACTTCTGGCAGTTTACAGACTACATTTCCCAAATATTTTAAATTGATCTCTCCTCTACAATAACCTCTAAAAAGATGTCCACTTCTAAAGTGGGAAGCATCCTCTCATAGTTATTTCTGTCTCAGCACTCAAACGTACAGTTAACCCTTGTGTTAAAACAAGTTCCCCTCTCATATTCTTTGGTGGAAGTTGGTATAACTGACAAGTACCAACATTTAAAGTAACATCCATGGCACCCACTGATGTGGACAATTTCTACTACACAGATGGGGTTGAAGATTGTCAGCAAGCTCAAGCTTTTCAGTGCTTGAGTGACTTCCACTTACAGCTGTAATAGCTTGAACCTTTGTTTGATTTTTAATGATAAATTAAAACTCTGGAGCACTACTAAGTTATCTAACTGATATTTTTTTGCTAGATATTTGTATTGCAGCAATGCCTCACTAGGTACAACTTACAGATTAAAACTCTAGCATACTGGGTGCTGCACAAACCTAGTAAACTATCCTGCATCTTAGGAAATTCTGCTATAGATCAACAGAGACATGCAGAAGAATGATGTAAGGGACAAACCAGTGGCAAGGAATGGATGGTATAGCAGAATACTGACAGTGCTATCATGGGAATAAAATATAAAGATGCTATTAATGTCACATCAAGATTGCACAGTCAAAAGATGAACAATGGTAACACTAAGATTCCTATGACAACTTTCTGAAAATGGCAATGCAGTCTTCTTATTTACAGTAAGGTCCATAGCTGAAAACACATTTACAAGAGTATTTTAAAGTAGATGTTGAAAAATGAGAACACAATGCATGTGCAGCAGGGCTGAATTACCATTGCTGTTGGATCTGTAGGTTTCTTGTTTTAATAATCACTCTCTGATTACCTGGGGGATTTTAGAGAAGAAGTAGGGAAAATGAAAAGAGAAAATGTTAAATCTTTGGCAAAACATTAGGTTGCCCTAACTAATAATAACCTTCTGGTAGCAGCTGTTGATACAGACTTATGCCCTGAAAGTGTGAATGCTCAGACACTGAAATCTCCCGTGCTCTGTCTATGGGGATCAGCACTTCTGTTAAATTCCTGACGGTTCCCCCCATCAAACTTATCCAAAAGCCCAAGAAAGTCAGTAATTGCCTTAGATTTTGAATCTGGTATGGACATGCCATTTTTTAGATTGGAAAATCAATATACGAGCAAAAGTTAGCCATTTTAAAAAAAATTTTCTAACATCACTCAAAGCAACGAAGGGTCTCCTCTGCCAAATGACAGAAAATAAAACTTACCTTTGTCTAGAGAAGTAGTGACCTTCCATGCCTGGGAAATTGTACCTTCAAGGGCAATGTGTCAGACTATTATGAATGAGTAAAACAAGTCTGTAGTACCTGGGCTCACTACCAAACTGGCTGGCCCAATAGCATGCAGCTCTTAGTTGCACGGTCACTGCTTACTGCCAGTCAAACCAAGGATGAGTATTAATAGCCAAATTCGTTGTAGTTACAAAATTAGACAGGGGGAGGAAAAAAGCAGCAGCAGGCAGTCAGAAGTCCTTTTTTTATATGAATAAAGTTTTATTGAATTTTATACAATTAGAAAGAACAAAGAAAGAGGAGCAAACAGTCTCATGGAGGGTAGGAACCAGAAGAGCTTTCCCAGTAGAGGAGGGCGCCTGCTGAGGGCAGTGTTCCTGTAAATGTCACACAGGGGTTGTTACAAAAGCAGAGAGAATGTGTCTGAGCTTTTCTTTGTTGTTTTTTCTCCCCTCCCACGTTAGGGTTTCTAAAGCCACTCTTCTTCCCCCGTCAATCTTACCACCCAGCAGCAAAGTGAGCAGATAGGCAGGAAAGAGAACTGCTCCAGTGAAATGTGTGTGCACACATAGAGCAACTACTACCTGCCTGCACCACTGCAGGGGTTTGCACCCATTCCACCCATTCTGGATGGAGTTGTGTAGAGGGGGAAGGAAGGGAAGTTGGATTTCTCTCTTTTTTTTTTTTTTTTTTTTTTTTTTTTTTTAAGCAAAGAAGGCACAAAATCTCAGCCAAGTTTCAAACCTAGTGCTGCTTGGGAGCTTCCAGCCTCCCAAAAAGCCAGTGTGTCCATATGGGAACCCAGCCCTCACCTCTTCCTCCTCTTCCTCAGAGTCTGTGCTTTCATTTGAAAGGTACTGCTCAGGTAGAAGGCCCTGCCCAAGGTTTGTGCACTGCTAGGGAAAGTAAAGCCGTGCCAGGACAAGGAAAGTGGGGATGAGGAAGAATCTGTTGGCTTAAACAGACCCTTTTTCCAATGTGAGAACTATTGAAAGTCACCTGTGATTCCCCACATTGCTTTTCCAAGAGCAGACCTGTGAGGGCTCTGGTGCTTTTGGAGGTGATCATTGCTTTTTCCTGTGCAAAGGTTGGTGTTATGTGGGAGGGCCAAGACATCCATCCAGACATGGCCTCTTCGAGCCAGTGCTCTCTAGGAGGCAAAAACCCAGCCCTGAGTCCAGCCCTCCAAATGGCGTCAGATTCCTTCAGAGGTTTCAACTCTTGGCTTTGATTAAGGCTATTTAGTTGCAATAGAAAAAAGTAGAGATGCCAGCTACAACCACCTGCCTGACCGCAAGGAGATGGCAGAGCCACTGGCAGATGCCACCAGTACCATGTCCCGGGACATTGAGGGAAGAAGGGGAGGCAGAGATATAGCATGTGGGCCTCCATTAAGCCTCTGCTTTCTAAAGAAAGGTATTTGCATACGAATCCTGCCAGCCTGTATGTGCACATGGGAGAGCAGAAATGAAATCTCTGATGCCTCTGAAGGCCCCAAGCCTGCCATGTGCCCTCCATGCTGGCCAACCCTGGGTACCCTGATGAGCAAAACCCACCAGGCAAACATCAAAGCTGGGGTTTGAAGTCACTTGTCCTAAACCAGAGTAGCCCAGGGGATTGGATGCCTCATGAACCTGCTTGGTGCTCTACCACACCACCTGGCTTCTCTCTGCCTCCTGAATAACCCCAGCAACACCCCAAGAAAAAAAAAAAAAAGAGATGCAAGCCCTATAGCAGCAGCAGCAGCGACACGTGGAGTGTCTCAAGGAAAGATGCTCACATGGCTTCATCCTCCACAGCTATAAATAGGGCTCTGGTGGCATCCCAACCTAATGCAGGAAAAACACCCAGCCTGAGAAGGACCTGCATGTATCTGTGTGTGTGTATGTGTGTGTGTGTGCATGTGTGTGTGTTTGTCTGCATGTATATTGAGGTGGGAGAAGAACTGCAAAAAATAAAGACAAATTCTCCCCAGTCCACACCCTAACCCAACCATCCCCTTGACCAGGCTGCTGGCTGTGCCTTCATCTCGCTCCTCCAGCCTGTCTCCCATGCCCCCTCAAATCAGGCCCCAGTGCACTATTCTCCCTAATCTGACAGGCAGAGCCAGGGCTATGGAGCGGGAGCTGGGGCTGCTCAGCCTTCCCTGCCCGAACGCAGGCTGTCGTCCTCTTAGAAAAAAAATAGCAATAACAACAGAAAAAAATTAATATATATATATATCTCCCCGAACCGCCCTGAAAGACCCAAATGGATGGAATCAGTCCCCAACAAAACCAACAGGAAATAAAAACAAAAGTTCCTTCCAAGGTCAGGTCCAGGTACGTATCCCAGCTGGGGCCCAGCAGCCGGGGAGCATGTCCCGCCCTCTCTGCTCCTCTGGCCTTGGCACATCTGTGGTGTCCATCAGCAGGAGGAGCTCCAACAGCTGTGGGGAAAGCGGCCTGGACAGGGCTGTCCCACCAGCTGGCAGTGGCCTCAAGCGGGGAGGACAGGGTGGAGAGGTTAAATGTGTGCCCCCCTTCTGCCTCACTGCCTTTCAAGAAGGTGTAGGGTCTCTTCGCCCCACCAGGTATGAGAGGCTCCTTGCTCAGCTCTCAGCAGCTGACACAGTCCTACACAAGGGAGCCAGCCCGGCTCTGGGCGGGCACCATGACGGGAACAGCCCCGATACGCTCCAGCGTGGCCTGACTGACTGCATAGGAACGGGTGTGTGGCAGCCGTGGCTTCCTGCTGACTGAACCATTGCTCCGGATCACCTCCTGAGGGGACGGCGCTGTGCTGGCCGTCACCACCAGTGTCTTAGGGGGAGCCGGGGATGGGTGGCCGCCATTGGCATAGACAGGGCGGGCACTCGTGCTCCCTGAGCGGGAGAAGGGGGGCTGGTGAGCATCGTTGCTGTTGCTGAAGCGAGTGAAGGAGTCTGTGGCGTGGTTGGCTTTGGGGTCATTCCAGTAGCGGCTGTTGTAGGTGTTGGAGGAGGTGAGGGTGTCGTTCTCTGATGAGGACGCATCAGCATGGAACGTCTTTGCGGCAGAGGAGCATTTGGGTGGCAGGTCATCCTCCCTGGGAAGGAGAAGGTGTGAGAGCACGTAGAGGATGCTGCCTCACTAGCCCAACACCGCCCCCACCACCACAATTCTGGGGTGAAGGAAAGCACCGATGTGAATCAGTGTTGCTCCTTGACCTCTTTGCTCCCCCCTCTGTGCAGGACCCACCTCTGTGCACATTAATTGCTCCATGTGACTATCACTGAGGCAAAGGACCCACGGTCATGTGTCTAGAGGGACAAAACCAGTGGTTGTCACAGCCACTGGTACTTCGCAGGCAGTCAGTATGACTGTACAATCAATGAAGCTGATCCTCAAGGGAGCTGCAGGATGCTACCAGAGGGAAACCGTGTGACTGTAACACCAGAGAGTATCGCAGCTGTATCTCCAGAGCTTTTCAGCTATCACTGTCTGGTGTTGTGGGTGAGGATTCCAACCATGTCATTCTCCTACGGAGCTAACAACATCGAGTCCTCTCCCTGTTGCTGGCAGAGGGGTTGAATTAGATGATTTTTAAGGTTCCTTCCAACCCATGTGGTTCTATGAAGCCAAAGCTCTCATTAAAGGCAATACTGAAAAAAGATGTGTTGTTACATTCTTCATTTTCTCTCTCCACTTTCTGGACATATATGGACATCTTCCCCTGACCCAGGGGAACATGCCCAGGATTAGCAAGAGTGAGATTTCCAATTCCCTTCCCGCCAGCAACAGCTTTTGCTGCGTGATCAGAGGTCCCATGCCACTAGCTTTCCCTCACCCTTACCTTATCTCATTTGGAATTTCCTCCTCTTCTTCTTCTTTGTGTTTATTTTTCCAGTAGAACAGTGCCACGGCCACCAACACGATGCAAACAACGAGCACAACGGCGCCCGTGGCCACTGCTCCTGCAATCAGGCCAATACTCCGTGGGTGGGCTGTGAAAATGATTGAACAGAGCATGGAGAAGAAATCAGGGATTGGCTGTGGCCATCCATGAGTATTTGAAGCTACTGTGGCTTGGGAGGGGGGAAAGGCAATGTTCCCATTCCAGGGCAAAATTATCTTCTGATAGAGAGGCACATGGTGGCTCACAGCAAACATGGTTACACACTTTACTGTCACAGGACATAAGCTGGTGGCCAAGCCTCCCCTGGCAAAATACTTACGTGCAATGACTTGCAGGTCCAGAAGGCAAGTGCTGGTTCCAATGGCATTTGAAGCCACACATTGGTAAAGACCTGAGGACACAGTGCTGATATTTCGGAGAGTGACAGTGCCCTGGACTTGGTCTAGTCAGAGAGAAAAGAAGGATTTAAATCCCTCCCCCCCTTGAGGAAAACCATGAAAAGGCAAAGCCAGCAAATAGAGAATTTTGGTGTGAGACTCTTAAGAGAGAAATAAATTAGGAAATAACTTTGAGATGGAAGCATTGTGCGTGCAGAGATACACACAGAGACAAGATTAGGTCTTAAGGAGCTTACACTAGATGTTTCTTTTTCTTCTGATAGATGAATTTCTGCAAATGAAAGCTTGGCATTCTCAGTATTGTGTGATAACAGGAAAGAAAGAGATGTGAAAAAAAACATATATACATATATATATATGTATATATCCATATCTACTTGCTAAATTCAATCTTGCTCTGTAGAACTCCTGCTCTCCCATCCCTGGGCTCCCCACCCCCTGCTCTGCTAATTTTTCTCATTCCTGAATTACGTAAAACTGAAAGCTTGCATATTCTTAAAATACAGCAAGATAAAGGGCAAAAGTACAGCTATCACTTGATCAGGACACCTAGGCAGAAATTTTATGGGTGGGACTTGAGGCTGGGAAATACCAGTTTGATCAGAGCCTTGCTTTTACACACATCTGAAAAGCAGCTCTGGCAGTAATTTATTGGAGAATGGTGGCCTCAGTGTAAGAAGCTGTCAATATTTTCCTGGGATGATTCTGCCTCTCTTCTTCCAGTTTCCATTCTATGAGCCTTTCATTTGGTTTACAATGCAGGTGAGTTGGCAGCTGAAATTTCCAGCCACATGCCAACATCTAGCAACCACTTTCTCCCTCTCCCATCCAACTCAATCCTTGTTTTTTGGTGGGAACATGTTTCTGTACAGAAAACCCCCATGATCATTTAAGTGACCTCTGGAGGGTACCTAGTCCACCATGGGCTTTAGGAATCTTCGTTCCAATAAAATGACCATGCAAATGATGGCAGATGCTCAATGAGCCATGCCACCTCTGGCAGCAAAGACAAAGGAAAGCCCAGGCTGTCACCTGGGAAATAAGAGGATAATCAACAGAATGAGCACCTTGTGTGGCAGTTGGGGGCAACTTGGGAACATTGTCCAGTTTCTCCCAGAGGTATGTTGGCCGGGGAATGCCTTCTTCTGAGCTGCAGGTCAGTGTGATATCGCTGCCCACGTCCAGGGACCCCTGGATTCTGCAAAGCGGGGCAGAAGGAGGAACTGCGAGAGAAGAGGGGAAGGTGATAGCATATCAGGAAATACAACCAAACAGTGGAGTGCAGGCTCACTCTGGACATGTGCTGCTGGGGAAAGCAAGGACATCAGCACAAACTGACAAGGGGACAAGACTGAGGCAGCAAACAAGAACCCATTAAGGTTTGGGGGGTGACAATTCACACAAAGATTCCTGACCCACCAGCCCATCAAGGTTACAGATTTTCACAGGACCCAGCTCCCTTAGATCTTTCCCTTGAGAAAAAGGTGAACATTTCTGTCTTTGAGATAACAAGGATGGTGAGAGCTAACAGAGCTGCAGACAAAATTTACTGTGGGTGAGTTTTGCCTTCATATCCCTAAAATGGCACTCACTCTGGAGTATTTAAAATCAAAGGGAGCATCCAGAACCAACTGCTTTCATGAAAAGGAAGCAAAGATCTAAAGTAATCATCTTTTCTTGTTGCTATGCACAAAACTCTTACAGTCCCTTCAGCTGTCCAGGATGCCCTTGTACTTTTTTCATGCTTCTTTGCAACTCTGTATCACAATCCCACCACAAAAACTCTCTCCATCTTATTTTAAACTTCATTATATGCTACCTGCATGTGGAGTCTATGTGCCCTACAAACTCACACAGTAGCCACAAGGCAGCCCATCCCTCACCACAGGGTGTCTATGGGCTCCAATGCATATACTACCATATTGCTCTGTTACGATGCACTGCCACGCACAGAGGATCCCCTTGTCCCTGTTCCTCCCCTCTCCCCCATAATACCAATAAACACACCCAAGACAGTAAGTCCAATGACTCCAATATTCCTGACGCCTCGGTCGGGAAGATTGTTGACCAAACACTGGTATGTGCCAGTATCCGATAGCTGAGTGTTGTTGATGAAGATGGAGGCACTGGTGGTTGGCATTGTCACAGCAAACCCCACTCTCCCATAGAACTGAGGTGCACCACCAAAGATCTGACCCCCTTGGTAGAGAATAACCTAGAAAAGAAAGGAAGGCTCAAACAACACTCTGCAGGAGCTGAGCAAGGAGGAAGAACAGCAAGCAAAACATGGGCTTCCAAAGCCAAAAGGACAAGTTACTAAAGGATCTCTGAATAAACAGACCTCAATATATATCCTAGCAGAAGTGTTTTCTCCAAAAGAGGAACAGACTCTGTAGCACATTTTATGTCAATAAAAATGTTCACAAAGGTAACAGACAAGAAAGATACCCAAATCTTCTGACATAGCTGGATAGGTAATACCAGCCTACTTCATATAATAGTCACTACCCATCTGGTCAGGATTGATGTACAGAAACAGAGACTCTCTGCAAGTCAGTGAGTACTTTGCTGAAAAGTATCTGCACAGTGGACAGTATCATTTTGAGTCTCAGTCAGTAAGATCCTGCCATGATTTGACACTGCTTACTGAAGACCTTTGGGATGAACTGAATGACAGGCGTTGCAACCTTTGAACCTGCACAGCCTCTACCAGTCAGACTGTACTCAGACCAAATCCCTGAGGAGCAAGTACTCTCCAGTGCGGGTTCTCACACTGAATACAAAATGCGATGAGGGCAGTGTGAGCCAAGACAGATGTATTTCAGAGCAATGGCATTCTTCTGTTGTCAGAGTATGTGGGCAAAAAACAGGCCAGCAGATCTCAGGTTATGATTCTTGTGCCCACCATGATACACTCTCATTTGCTAATGTTCATAAGAATGGACTTGCATAAGCAACAGACAGTGAGAAAATAAGAAGGGAAGTTAAAGGGGTGATAAGTCTATGAGAGCTATGTGTTACGGGACATTTTACACAGATTTCACAGGTTTAAGGCTACAGCTACTCCCAGGCCCTCCAGAAACCTGGATTACATCCCCTGTGCTCTTTTGAACACACAAACCACTAGAGGTCCAGGGCAGCAATACAGTATCACATACACCTGCCCCAGTTGCACATCCAGCCTAGGCAGCCAAGAATACAATGTGCATCTGCTAACTAAGCATTGAAGAAATCTGATTATTGTAAGATCCAGAGGGCATGTTCAGCAATGAAGGGATAATGAAATTCTGGGACAACCAGAGACTCAGCATTGTAAAGGGTATACATCCCGAAAAGGGTGGGGAACAGGAAAGCCTCAAAGAAATACATGCTCCAGTAAGAAAGGACCTACCTGTTGAGGTTGGTTGGCGTTAGAAAGAGGAATGACCATCCAGATGACATTAAGGTTAGTGAGAGCAGCGTTAGTGGTGAAGGTGCAGGGCAATACTGCTGTCTGGCCTCGGGCAACCTGGATACTCCCTGAACTGACAGAAACCTCCAGAGGACACACCAGACCTGGAAAGAGAAGGACACACAGTTCAAAGCACTGCAGGTGGCCCCATACACTTACAGGTCATGACATCAGCATCCTGTTCTTACACAATTGTACCTTACCGGCTACTTAAGGCTAAAAATAATTATATTCCTTCCTCAGATCAGGCTGCTCTCATGCAGACCATTTTCACAGACAAATGCAGATAGGTGGTCCTTTAGAGTGAGAGCGCTCTGGTTTTAGAGCCTATGAAAACAACTGGGTTGGCTTTGGTGGCAGAGAAAGAGGTAGAAGAGCAGCCAAGCTGTGTCTGAGAGATAATGAAATATGTTTTCAAACCCATCAATACCCAACATCAGTGAAACAGAAAAGGAAACTGCAGTCTTCACCAAGGGGTAAGAAGAGAGAAACACAGTTCTCCCCTGACTTCTATGCCTCATAAAGTCCAGCATGACCAGAAGTATTTTAGTGATATTTTTAATTTAAAGGGTTAAAAGCCAAAATATTTTCCAGTCCAGTCATTTCTATTTAGCTGGTGAAAAATGACTACTGATAGTGGAGGATCTCATTAAGTCTCACTAATTTTCCAGCATTTCCACCATTCACTTCTTTGCTTTCCACACAATCTAGATAGAGCTCAAAGCCTGATAGCCCCAGCTACCCAGTACAGCAGCTCAAGGCTGCAGTTTTAAGATTGCAAGTCACACAGGGAAATCTCTCCGTTCTTAACACCAAAATCTTATTGAATGAACCAAGGAGATTCCATCACTATTTTGAGTAGCACTAAAATTCTTTAAAACATTTTTCCCCACAAAATCAAAATACCGACTACAAAAACTATGTCTCTATATGACAGCTCACAATCTTCTTGTTCAAACCGTGTGAGAGGCTCCTGGAGGAGAAGGCAAGGAGTTTTCAAGCTCCAATATCAGAATACTGTTAACACTCAGGTGCAGTCTGTGGGCCACCCTATTCTCTTGCTGACTCAGGGAAGGGCTGCCAGCAAAGTTTCTATTTTCTACCAAGACACGCTGTTTTGCTGAAGGTGCAATGTTTCATAAGAATAGTTTTCTATCTGAACTACAAAGAAATTGAACAGGCTAATGTCTGAGAAAAAGCTGAGTGGTCTCCCACATGCTTGTCTGCTGCGATCCTTCCCACACTACCTTAAAGAGATGGTGTGCTCAGAGGCTGGAAGTGCTGACCTTCAGATGCTACAAATACAAATTTTCTAGCACTTGAACAGCCTACGATGTGTTCCAGGGTTTGCACTGACTGTTCTGGAGTTGCAATACCCCAGGACATTGTGAATACTCAAGCACCTCCTCTGAACTTCTATTCCTTCCTTCATCTCCAAAGCCCCAGGTAGTTCAGGGAGGCTCAAAAATGCTTCAGAATAGAGCTAGACAAAATTCTGCTTCAATTTCTCCAAGTGAAATTCAAGTGAAAATTTCTTACTTTGGGGAAAAACAAAAATAAAAATAAAATAATAATAATAAAAAAACCCACAAAACAAAACAACAACAAAAAAACTAACTCCAACTTTCCTCACAGTTTTGGGACATATTTAAAAATATGGAAAAGTTTGGAAATTCATAGGGAAACATTTCATTGCCACTGATAACATCACAGAGAATTAGGTGGCTGGATGAGGAACAGCTGGTGAAACCTTAATCCATCAATCTCCTATGCAAGGCTCTCAGCAACAAGCAGAAGTAAATAATTTGAAGAGCCAGCAATAACCATCACCCTTATTACAAGGCACCTGCCTTCCAGTTGTGTCTGTGGGCAACATTCTGGGAATGGATTTGGACTCCTCACTTTCTTATGGCTGGCCAGGCAGTGGCAGTAGCCCAAAGCCCAGAATTGATCCATGTCAACTTTGGAGATGCCTCTTACTGAATATGACCCTGATAAGGAATTGTTTTCTGCAGGCCTAAATTTGAAGGAGGTATTGCCATGACTACTCATCCAGTCTGGCGTCACCTATGTGCTAAACGGTGTGCAGGGATTCACAATGTTTTGAACGTTTATTGGATTAACCTCTCTCATCAACATGGTGCAGAAAGCTCTTCTGCCATGTTTGGCATAGATTTAATGAGAAGCTCTCCACGAGAGGAAAACAAATTTCTCATCTTATTTGGAACAGCAATATGTGTTCTTCAGTCCCATCCCTTATCCCTTCCTTTTTACCCTCTTAGAAAACCCCACACATTCAAATTCTTGTCATTCAGAGAAAGTAATACTTGAATGTGAGTATTCTCTAGGAATAAATTTACTGGAAAAGTTACACTTTATAGTTGGCTTTGCAGGGTTAGTTACATCAATCACTCAATCATCAAGATGATGAGATCTTCATGCCTAATCATCCTCTTGCTACTCCTAATATTTATTATTAGTTGATTGTAAACATGCCGCAGAATAATAAAAACACTAAAATAGAACATACATAATTTAATCACTGCAAAAATAATTTCCAATACATTTAAGCATTTCCCAATCTACTTATGAACAATTTAAAAAAAAAGAAAAGGAAAGAAAACACATGTTCCTTTTGCTCCCAGTACCCCACTCTCATCCTGCAACACCCTGTAATCTCCTCCCCCTCTTAAGGCACCACAGCATCCCTTTTAATTTTAATGGCATGGAGCAAGGGAGCACCAAGGAAGAGCTGAGGTCTCCATTAATTTCTTTTGCCAAGGGGAGCTGCTTTGAACCTGGCTTGCAAGATGGACACTCACACACACTCCATACTGTCCTGTCTCTGTCATGTTAAAGCACCGGGCAAGCCAGCTCCTCAGACTTACCTTTGCCTCACACATCCCAGAGTTGCTCTTTGGCCTGGGATGTATGCAAGGAAGGCGGCACTCAAAGACAAGGATTCTTTTTGTTAAGCTAAATGGCATCTGCAGGGCTACGGCTGGGGAAAACACACACAACCACTTCTGACAAGTAAGCTTAGACAAGGCGACAGGAGAGTCAGGAGACCAAATGTAGGCAAAGTCCTCTTCTGCCAGCATAAACAGGGAGGTGGCTGGTGTGTTAACACAGCGCTGGGGGGGCAGTACTGCAACACAACTCCTCTCCCAGGGAGACAGCTGAAAGAGCAAAGATCAAATCCTCTTTGAAAGCTACAGCATCTCAAGACTACTAGAAAATGTAACACATTTACACGCGCACTTGTCCATCTATGCAAGTATCTGTGTGACTGCATCCTTCTACACCAATACTCATGGCCCAAAACACAAATGGATGCACACGAAGTCGCATACACTTATAAACCTGTATGCCTGGGGAGATATGTAGTAGAAAAACTCAGCCAGATTATACACGTTTAAACATTTCAAAATTAGGAGTTGCAAAAATGTGGCCTTGCATTAATGCAAGAGGAGGGAGGCAGGGGAGAGAGGGAGGAAGATATTTCAAATTTAGCATATCTATTGGGATAAGGATTTTTCAATTCAGCCTAAGGAATGAGAAGTTGAATTCCCTTGAGTAGATATAAATGCAAATATAGATATATGCACACACATACAGCCCAGTCTACTGAATCAAATTACACATAAGAGGTCAGAAAAATCAAGCAAAGGATGTTGTAAAGGCTCTTCTTTTGCATAGTTACACAATCCAGACATTTTCTAAGCATTCAGAAGTTTAATGACTTTTGAGAGACAAGGAATCGATCACCACCAAACCGTCTCTCAGAATTGGATTACAATGGCCATTACACTCTCTCGTATATGCAGTCTCTTTCTTAGTAATTAAGCATCCCTATAAGCAGCATGCCTGGAGGAAGAGCAGGATACACCACTGTCAGCAGAAAGAGGAATGGGCCCTTCCTGTACGTAGGACACTTTGATCTTAGCTTGATTCAGCAAACGATGTTCTCCTTTGATCCTGAGGCAGCAAGCTCCCATCACTAATTACAACAGATGCTCCATTTTTCTGTCCCCTCTCAGGGAACCAGTCAGCAGAACAATGTTTTGGCTGCAGAGGCACTTTCAGAATTTCTTCATATTTCCAGGATCAAGTATTCTGGCAACAGATCATTGTGATTTCATTTTTGATGGCTCACTTCTGTTTTTTTCAAGTGGCACTCTCAGCTTCCTCCCCTGCATTCATGAAGGAGTCCATGTAGATACTTCATACAACATGACACAAGCACGGAGGACACAGTCCCACAATGACCATTTGCCTCCTTGCTGGGTATAAGGAGTCAGATGCTGCCACGTTTGCTAGCTGCCTTGCAAGGGTTGCAAGCCTCAGAACCTTAAGAATATACCAGATACAGTGAAGCTGAAAGACATGGGCATATCTTAGCACTTAACTCCTTCTAATTTGGCTGAAAATGTTCCCAGTTCCCGCTCACTGCCACATCTCTCTGCCAGAGATCACCAGCAAGACCAGCAAATTACCTTGGCTGACAGCTCCATGAGTGAAATAAGGACTTCCACCGTGATCACACCACTAGGCCAGATTGTAACATTAACAGCCAACGCACAATAACCAGTCCATATCACCATGATGGCAGATGGTCACAGACCACAAGGCCCACAAGGCTGAGACTGTGCCTTCAGGAATCACTGTGGCTACTTCACTCTGTTGAAGCTGTGCTAAGGGCAAGTCCTCATCTATTGTTGGATCACACCCAGCACCTGGTTTTCAGAGGCAAACGTGCTCACCACTGGCTGGGTTGCAGTATAGTGCAATAGGGAGGGTCTTCCCCCACTCTATTTATCTTCAGAGTGTTCATCTCCCAGGACCTCAGAAAAACAGAAGGTTTTCTGGAGGATCACTCATATCATGGAAGTCGAGTTCCTGCCTTGCCTCACCTTCTGACGGACACTCTCTACTTCGCAAGTACCCCCTAGAATTATTGGTAAGTCAGCAGCTTTTGGCGCCTGATAGCAGCAAACTCCTGATACTCAAAGGCAGAGGTACAGGTTCACTCTGCAGTGCTGGCAAGCCAGGGAAGCAAATGGGCAAGGTAGGAAGGAGGGAAGAAGGTGTGAAAGGGATGGAA